GTATTGTCAAAGGGTTCATGTGCACTTTAAAAGACTTGAAAAGATAAATGTTTACGGATATCAATGACATTTAAAAGAATGTTATTGGAAAAATTACCTTAAATCTTAGAAATATTTTTGTTTTGAAGATGGCAGATTCTATGGAGATCACAATATTAGCGATCATGTCTCCCGCGATTAGATGTGAATGGGACTTATCAACCTGGGAAGAAGCAACAATCAGTACGGTATGTCTTGCATTAGTAGTCTATGATGGAAATCATACATAACAGCTTGATATTCATACATTTTTTTATCGTTGATAATATGGGCCTAATTGGAAATAAGCTCACTGCTTTATTAGTTCTACCAATAAAGATTATTATTATTATTATTGTTGTTATTATTATTATTTTATTATTGCTATTTTTTATTTTTATTTTTATTAAAAAATTGTAAGATGGTTTCTGAACGCCCAGTTGTTCAATTGATACTTGTCGAAAACGGCTTCCTCGAATAAAGTAATGCCCTTCAAATAATTTTTTCCTTAGTTTTTAAAGCTTGTTATCCTAATGTAAGAAACTTTTTTTTGTAATTAGGTAGTGTTTGCTGGGATGACTATCAGCACTTGCTTCTGGGGATTTGTCGCAGACAAATGTGGACGAAAAAAGGTGAACTTGTTTCACACAACCTATTTTTTCCCCAATATCTAAAGGTTAACCAAAGCATGATGCATGACACAACCTTTCATTTTCTTTTTGACTTTTCTGTTTAACTTAAAATTTTTGAATCCAGATATTTTCCCCCGATCTGTAAAGGTTAACTCAAGCCGCATGCATGGCGGAACGGTAACCTTTCATTCTGTGTTTGACTTTTCTGTTTAACCCAGCTAACGGATTCGCCTCTACTAAAAACTTCTGCGTTTTGGCTAGTTATTTATAACTGTATCTCGCACTAATAAAGAGGTTTTATTTCCTGTCAGGAGCTTATATGGTGCACAATATTAATATTTTTTGGAGGTTTTCTGAGCACGTTTTCGCCCACATATATCTGGATGGTTGCGTTTCGTGGTATCGTTGGACTGGGTCTAGGAGGTGTTGCGCAGGCGTAAGTGAGACAACCAGTTGTGTTCTATAGCATAACAAATCTAGTCTCCTACGCAGCCGCTATTATTGGCGTCACGCAACGCTTACTCCTCTACGACGCTAACAGCGGCTGCGTCGGAGACTAATAACAAATCTAAAGTAGAATAATCCTAGACAAGCACTGCATGGGCCTGGTTGTACGAAGCCTGGATAGCGCTATCCGACGGATAAATCTTATCCAGTTGATAAATTCATTGAATAACAGCATCGACGTATCCACTGAATAAGGATTTATCCGCCAGATAGCACTATCCAGGCTTCGTACAACCGGGCCCTGGTTTTTATTAGACTTACCCTTCGGTACCGGTATAAGGACGCTTTATACGTGAGCCCCTGGCTAGGTAGAATTGGGAAATCACTCTCCTCTTTATCGAAGTAAAATAAATGACCGTTACCTTTACCTTTTTATCGGAGCATTACAACTTTTTGCAAATGTCCATTGCTGATCTGTGTTTTATAGAGTGCATACCATATACTACGGTGAACAAGTTAACCATCAAAATAGTCACAAAGTTTTGTAGGTCTACGGTCTACTGAGGTCTATCGAACTAAGAATTTTTGCAAATTCTTTCAATTTCTTACAAAGGAATCACGGATATATGGTGTGGACTCTAATCCATAATTGTTTTCGTTAGGGCAAACCTCTGGTTGGAATTTCTTCCTCTTAAGAATCGTGGAGGACTCGTGACCGTCTCAATGGTAAGGAAATCACCCACTGGGGTGTCGTCAGACAAGAATGGCACTAAGGGCAAATACATTTATTTTAAGTCCGTCATAAGGAATATGATAATCCGGCTTTGAATTCCTTATCTTTAACCTGCTTAGTTCTGTCCAAGAGAAGCTTGGATCTGAGTATAGGTAATTTCTTTAAGTCAATGGCCTGTTAAAGGATAAATATTCTCGATAGTGCTAACTTATCACATCTCCTTTAGTACTATCATGTGAAACTACAAAAAATTCTGGCTACGCAATTGATTGCGGCTGTAAGAATATACAGAAAACACTATTGATGGTTTGCAAGCATTCCCGAGAGAGTTAAAAGACAAAAGCATGGCGGCCATTGTGGTGCCGTTTACAATGGATGCTAATACGAAATCTTTTGTTTAATGGCACCAACATGGCCGCGATGACTTACGTGCAATCGAAGAATATGTAGTGATGGATGTTAGTTAATTCCCGTCAAAGCGCGTAAGCCCACTATTTATCTAATCAACTAAATGTGCCGGTTTGAAAATTATTGTTCAGGTATCTTGGTCAATAGGCACGTGTATAGAAGTTGGTATTGCTGTGGTTGTAATGCCTAACCTTGGATGGAGATGGTTGCTGCTCATCTCGTCTTTACCTCTTATTGCATTACTTGGCTTGTTTAAGGTAATCTTGCTAACGATTTGTCATCCTATATTTAGACTTCTTTTTGACGGCTTTCTTTCAAAGTACAATAAACCCTTACACTGAGTCCCGAGAGGAATTGTTCTGGGGGACAAAACAAAGGTTTTTTTTTGTATAAGAAAAGACGGCCAATTGTTTTGTCCCCCATAACAATTCCTCTAGGAAATCAATGCAAGGGGTCTATGGAGGCATGATGGCAGCCATGACAGAGGGTAGGAGCAATTGAATCTGCTCTAAAATGATTTACATGAGAAAGAATTCAGCTTCCTAGGTAAAAAGACTCTATTATTGCCACCTCCTGTCATGGAGCTGCCATCATGGGATGGTACAAAGTCTCTATATACATGGCTTATGAAGCTTATGACTTATGAAGCCTCTCTTTTCAGTATGAATGTTGTAATCGAACATTTACGGGTTTTTTTTCTGAATAGTTTATCCCAGAGTCTCCAAGATTTCTCGTTAGTTCAGGTCAATTCGAGAAAGCTTTGACGATCTTACAAAGTGTAGCGAATGAGAACAAAGAAAAGTTGCCTCCTGGGAAACTTGTCGCGTCTTCCTCTTCTGATCAGGTAAATGTCTGGTAATTCTTTCTCCATCTTTCTTCCTTTACATTTTCCTCCTCTTCTTTATCTTTAACTTCTTGTTCAGTGTTCATTACCGCCGTCGTCGTTGTTGTCGCACCTTCTTGATCCTTCCTCCTAGAACCGTTTGCACGATAACCAAGCAAGCGAAACAACGCACAAAACACCTAAACAGAGCAAATCAACCTCTTTATTCGAGTAGAAAATTACTGGAATATTTTTAGCTATGAAAGCCTGTTGACTGCTTAAGAATATAACCAATTGCCCTATTTCACTATGACTTGTTCACACTGCTTGTTTATGTGGGGGATAGAATCGCCAAATCCAATAGAAAATTCAACAAAATTTGCTCCTAGCGAAACAGTTTAATCTAAAATGGCCTGGTTTTCAGATATAATATGTGTTAATATGTACTAAAAAATATTCTGAACCTTTGCTGGCTATTCTACTTCTCTTCGTGGATTGATACGGGTTTTAGAACAATTTTCGCGGTGAATTTGCGATGATTTGACCCCTCCGACGACCATGATCCTTTGAGTTTAAACAATAGATTGTTTTGATGTGACGTCAGTGAAATAGGGCAATTCGTCGTGATGAAATGTTTTTTTACAGACCACATGTCATTATCTTGATCCATATTCCTTTGTCTTCTCATGTGCAACCATTAAAAAAGAAATGGTACTCTAGGGAATGACAGTCTGTAGTTTGAAAACATTGCACCATTAAAAACTTCAGATGGCATCATTTCAAATCTGCTCTTAAAATTCCTCTTTTTTCTTCAATCCATGCAGAAAGTTGCAAGAGGTAGTATAGTAGATCTGTTTTCCGCAAAATACCGAAGGTCAACGTTTCTTTTGTGGCTCATATGGTAAGTAGATGAGATATAAAAGCCTTATTGATGGTTTTCACGTCGGCCATGTTGGAGGACTTTAACAAAAGAATTGTCAATGAATTCTTTTGTTATATCCTCCAACATGGCCGCCGTGTCTTTTATTATTTAATTCTCTTGGGAAGGGTTGAAATCCATCAATATTCATATTTTTATCCAGGAAATCTTTTATCAAGCTTTTATTTGGGGAGGGGTGTAGGGGGATAAGGCCATTTGAACGCGCGCTGTCATTGTTTCAGCAATGTTTCTGCACTTTACCAAAAACACGATTTTAGAGCAGTTTAGAATGCAATACTGTAGCTTACTGATTAATCTTTTACTGTTCCACCTACAGGTTTAGCAGCCATTTTGTAATCTATGGAATAGCACTTATAACCACAGAAATGTTTTCTAGAGAAGACAAGTGTAGAGGAATAATCATTGATGGATCACGAGCGGATAAAGAGACAGGCTGTAAAATACTAGACACCAACGATTATCTGCACTATTTTGTTATCATGTCAAGTGATATGTTTGGTACGTAAGAACACTTTCTCTTTTAGGGGGTGGGCTACCTGTACCACAGGTATCCCAAAGAAAGTTCATTTTGTCCAGTGATATGTAAGGTACGTGAGAACACTTTCCCTTTTCGGGGGTGGACTACCTTTAGCACAGGTATCCCAAAGAAAGTCATTTTGTCAATGATAGGTACGTACAAACAAATGCCTTTTCTAGAGTGGTGGCTACCTGTACCACAGGTATCCCAAAGAAAGTTCAGTTGTGCGGCACAGAGATTTTTTAATCAATTAATGTGTCTATCTCCTATACCATGTTTTCTAGGTATTGTGTTGTGTCTTGCAACCATCGATAAGATAGGAAGAAAGAATGTACAAGCTTTGGCGTTTGCTGGTAGCGCTATTTTCTTATCAGCTTTGTTTATTTGTACAAGAAGGTTAGTATGCTTAAGAATCAACAATGGATTCGGCACTACTTGTCTGTGCCTAATAGCATACTGCTATTTCGATTAAGTATAAATGGGCGACAAGAGATTGGCCGGCGATTACACGACCGAAAAGACCTTGGGCATACATCTAAACACGAATAATCAAGTGTTTTCAGGCCGTTTCGTCACCTCAAACGACACTTTTAAGTTAAATTTAATTAAGTTTAATTAAAATATCTCAACAATAAAATGAACCTCTGTGTTATTGACCAGAACAAAACAAAGACACACAGTGCAACATTGCGCGCAATGTTGCTAACAATCGATGTTGCGATTGTTGCAATTCGTTGAACGCAATTTTGCTATGGGGTATGAAATAAAACGATTCTACTTCAGCAGCATTGTCTGCAGTATTGCTCGCAATGTTGCGCCGTGTGTCCCGTCTTAATATTAAGAAACAGCAGTGATTCCAGCTATTCTTGGATCTTGGAATGACCTATCTCCTATCGCGTTTCGCCTATCACCTTTTGCCTATCACGGTTTGTCCCTTTAACCGCGTTTTTGAAATAGCTGTATATGAGACTCATTCTAGACGCCTACAAGTTAGCATACTGGTCGCCGCTGTTTTTACGTTATTTTATTTATTTATTTATTTTTTTCGTTTGGCCAATCCCATACAGTAAGCTTTAGCTTTATTCTAACTCGTGATTATAACTTCCTTTCAGTCGCTTCGTAACCACTTCGTTTCTATATGGAGCGCGTTTATTTATAAGTATCGCTGATTTATCAGGCTACGTCTATACACCCGAGGTGAGATTTA